GGAGTGATCGGGAGTGCATACAGTAAAGCGCGTTCTTGCAATGTTGGCTAATATCGTTTCCATACGTACCAAGTGAGTGGGTTGCTTCCACTTCTAAGTGAGAAAATAGCGACCGCATGTAGGGCTACACCACAAATGGTCGTAATTGCATCTCGACTTATGGCAGGATCTTATGAATGGGAGTGCATTCCCCGAAGCGGCAAGCAGTGGCTGTTGGGTCATGAGTCGCACACCAAGCCTTCCCAGATGCCATGCTCAGCTATGCAAAGCTTGCAGCGACCCTGCTTTGCCTGATGCTAAATGCTACCTGTCACCTTTTCTCCAGGTTCGAAAGTGACCTCCAGAATCACCCGAAAACGGTCCAGAATGCAATCAATTTGTTCCGGTTGGACTTTGCGTGAGACAATTCTGAGACAATCCCATGAAAGATGTTCCACGGATTTCACCATTTCTCGAGCCTGCTATTTGTGTTTGAAAGAGCTTATGTCCCATCCTTAAAACGGGAAATTCTGTTTGGGGAGTTTTTTTTGATGATGACAGTTTGAACGGTGGTCAGAGATTACCTACTATAATGCCTAGGTTCTCGTGGGTCCATGGCCGATGAGACCGAAACTGTCGCGGTCCTTATTGGGCCTTTCGAAGGCGACCGAGTACTACCTCCTCGATCGAGAAGGTGGGCAAATTTTGCTGATGGTAGGTGGAGGGTTGGAGTAGGAATTGTGATGTTTTTGGGGTGGTTTGGTTTCAGCACGACATATTTTGCCAGAAGTCCTTTTATCTGAAAAGCCACTGATGATCTCTGGTCTCTCACCCAAACAGGAAATCACCCCCACTCTGATCCGGAAGTGGAGGATGGACATGTCCTTTCCACAGGTTTCAGGCCGCTCTTTAACAACTTCATAGATGTTGTTAGGCAGAAATTATAGAAAGGACTTCTGGCACATTTGAGCCAAGGATACCCATTTTTGATTTAGGGATTACTACATAGCTTTGACAGACACCTCGGTTTCTCTCTCCCAGCGATCTCCATACTTTGCAGGTGAATACTCACCCAAAAGCTGGTGATGACACTGGTACATTTCCCGCCTTCCGCCACTCCCACAAAAAACCATGTAAGAGGCGTCTTGTCTTTGGCATTTCCATGGCAAGCTGGGACAACTTTCGGCAATAACTTTTTGTAAGGTATCTGCTAGATCTCGGTCTGCAGATGTAAAAGTTTCACTTTCGCGGTCAGTCTTGGCCCTTGATCCTGAGTGAGGTGTCTCGAATGAGACCACCTTCGAGATCGAGGACGGCCAGGGAGAGAGGAACATGCTCGACTGATGTGAGTGAACCTGTCTCCTTAAACAACCTAGCAACTGCTCATGGTGGCCCCTACTACGTAAGTTGAAACAGAATCAGGAGTCGCACATGGTACCTTCGTGTTTGGATCTTTGGGCCACTACCGTCTTGTTTTGCCAACATCACCGTGGGAGCTTTTAGACATAGTGCTCTGGCCAAACATGGCAGGTTCCTGGCCCAAGTTCACGCGCCCGACTTGGTGCTTGAGCGATTCTGCAATCATCCAACCACTCCAGGAATATATACAATGATACTGACCCATCCCAGCCAAATTTTGAATCCAACTCAGCCACTCAAGTGGAAAGGGTCTTTCACCGTTCATGGAAGGAGCAGTGGAAGCATGTGCTCCTGAGCAACGAATTTCCAATCCATGGACACCCCACCAACAAGGCGCTCCACTAAGGCGCTTCGGTGGTCCTGCGACTTGCCTGCGACTTGCCCTGGAATGACCAGTCTTTTTCGTCCAGTTCATGGGACTCCTGTCTTGAGTGACCTGTCCTGCCTGTCCGATCTGTGAGATGAAGTGGAACTTCAATTCTGTCTGTGGGTCGTGGCACCAGGATACCTTGGTTGACCTACTGGGCTTTTGGTGGACCAGGGATCCAGGTTGAACGAGCCATCCCCTTCTGCCAGGAGGAGTACAGCTTCGAGCTCACCCAGCCAAGCCAGGCGTGACCTTTCATGGGCCCGGGCCGGTTGGATAGATTCACATCGCCGCGCCCCCACGTGTTGGAATCAGTTGAAGTGGTTTTGGCAAACCTGGGGGTGAGGCTAGTGTGAGGGTATACAGATTGCACCATATATATAGTTTTGTAGAGGTTGGAGAGAGGGCTTTTTTTGGCTGTGCCCCTTCGAAATGTCCAGGTGCCGAACAGCATCTCTGAAGGATTTTGAAGAGAACACTCCGACTCCAACAAACACACAAGGGAAGAAGACATGGAACACACCAACCAAAGTAAAGACCTTCAAAACAAACCTCCTTGGCAAATGGCCAGAACATGGCAACAGCTATTGCATGGGATGGTTGAAGAGGAAAAGCCAGTCATTGATGAGCGTGCTACTGCACTGCATGTTATTTCTTTCACCAGAGGATTGATGCTTGTCTACCCTTGAAGTGCCATTACAAGGCCAATCTGACCATCCAACAGGACTGGACATCCTGCCTGGCTGGGCTGGCAAGGCGTGGCGCGTGCGCAGTGAGGGTGGTTCCATGGGTTTTTGTTGATTTTTTATACGAGGCATTTCCAAAAGGGGATGAGGGGGTCGGCCTGTGCGATAATCGATTTCTTTTGTTTGCCGGTTAACTGCTCGATTGCTGAGCCAAAGCAGTGGCTGTGTGGGGTCGCACTGTTGTCGTCCTCCGAACAACAAAAAGACACTGAAGTCAGAACCATGCGATCATGCCCAGTTCAAGAGAAATATGAGAGTATTGCAAGGTGTCTCGAGGGGTCAAACCAACTCAGCTGCCAGGCCTAGAAACAATCAAGCATCAGGCAAACAAGAATCCACGACAGAAAACTGATAGGTCAATATGACTATTCCCTTTTTCTTTTTGGGTGCATTTGTGAGTGGGTTTTGGGCAGTTTCCGAAAAGAGGGTGGATTCGATGTGGGGAGATTGCCGCGCACCGCTAGCGCGACCATGGCTCCCGGCCCAGCTGTCATGGGGTATGAATGCACAAGAACCGAGCCAACTTGAAGCACCCAGTGGCCTTCGTATTTCTCAGAGGGAAGAGCAAGCAGTTGATTGGCCCCGGAAGGATTTTTGAGATGAGTTCCCTTTAAGACCATATTTGACATCAGTTCTTTGGAATGGGGACCTTTATAACTGCAGTTGCCTCCAAATGGCCCTGCATTGACCCAACAGTCTTGCAGTGCTCCTTAGCTCCTTTTGTATCTCTAGGTGCTTTCTAGATTCATCTAGATTCTAGGCTTTGGCAATATGACTCCACTCCAGCTGTGTGTGTGGTCGGAGTTTGAGGGAAGCCGAATGGAACCCATCCCGTCCTTTGAGATCCTAGCGTCCTTTTCCCAGGGCTCAAAACCAGCACTAAGGTGGTGAGAGGGTAACAATTAAAGCCGACGACGGACGAGCCCAAATGAAACTGCACAGGCTGGTGGCCCTGTTGTGCTGAGGGGTGGTGCGTTGGCGCAGCTTGAGCTGCCTGAGCCTGGACTGGTCGAGTTTGGGTTTTGGATCAAGACTTACACTCCCTGAAAGAATCATGGAAATGAAAATAGCCATGAAAACCGCCTGTTTGTAGAGGAATACGGTAATCCGAGGGGCCATGCCACCCACTTCCCATGATTATTTCAGGGAGTGTAGTAGACCAATGGGACTCGTAGTTCACAGCCCTTGTGGATCGACGATGTTGTTCCTTTCCTGTTTTCAATTGGTGGTTGACCAGAATGGGCTTACCTACACTGCCTAGTGATTTTCATCCAGAGTCCTATCATTCTGCTGTCGTTCGAAACCCATCCGCTCCTCTCCATGCCAGTTCCATTGGTTTTAAGTGGGTTGATCTGACAACTTCATTATGTTGATCTCTGGGCCCCGAAGGTTCTGGGAGAGGTTGCATCCTGTTGCTCTTGACGCACATGAGATTGGCAGTTGACTTCAGATCAACCGTTCCTTTCCTCCTTTTGCCTTGCCTTGGCCGTCTGCGGCATTGGCACATGCCGAAGGCTGCACGGCACGGAAGCGGCATCGGGCCAACCTGATGCCACGCTTGGTGCCGCGTAGGGGCTTTGCACTGACCTTCGCTGGGGAAAGCGATCGGTGCGAGCCGGGGGGAAAGTTGCGACCCGCGGGCGCCCAGGGCAGGTGAGCTGAAAACATGTGCGTCTGACTTTGGGATTCGTTCGTGGCAAGGAAGACGATGGACTCGAAAGTCGAACTCGGAAAAGAACAAAACACCTGGCCACGGCTACGATTCATGACAGATTGACATAGAAATAGGGGAATTCGGAGTGAATGTTTGCCGCTTTTGTGGTTGGTTTGGGTCGGGGAACCGTTGTAGATGATACTTAATGTGGCGGCTACCCTTTCTGCAGATCAGCTGTAGATAGTGCGGCACACACACAGACTTTGTCGGGCAGTCCCATGGCAAGCAACCTGCAGAGAAAGCAACTTTTAAGCTGAACCTCTCCAGCTACTGCATCCACTCTGTTCAATTTATCTTCCTGTTGCTGGCTTACATGTGTTGCATCAAATACGAAGTGGTTAGCCCCTCAACTGTTGCAAACCCAGTGCTGGAGAGAGCAAAGAAATGACTTCTCAACACACTAGCACCACTCCCGCTAAACGGGATGCTGCAATATGCTGCTCCACCTTGGTCCATGAAGGTAAGAAGTGGGCAGGCTAAGGCGACTATGACAGCTGTCGGATAACTTCAATCCCTCTCAAAACCCCTGCTGTTGGATCGACAGGTACGGAACAATGGACGGGTCACGGGTCCAGGATCAGTTTTTCCATCAGGCTTGTTCCATCAGGTAGCGAGTAGCGATGCCAGGAGCCCCTAGTAGCTTCTTGCTCCTAGTAGCAAGAATAACATTGATAACAAAAAGAACCTTCAACGTGCAGCTGAATGGGCTCACGCTGCAGAGGTCGAGGATGAAGCACACATCGAACGACAGGAGGCAGAACAGTTTGGATGAACCCTGAACTTCTGAGATGTTTGGACGGTGAATTCTCATAGCCATCATCCCTGTGCTCCTCAGCACATTTGCCCCATGGCGCTGGTCACGAAGAGTGAGACGAGCGGCTCGACAGGTTCGAGGACAGCTTGTGGCGCAGGTCTCCACATAGTGTGTAGGCCTTACCGTTCTTCCCATTGATTGGTTTCAAGGTGGTCTAACTGGCAATGTGTGTGAGTGTGTGTTTTGTTCGCTGGCAAAGTGCCGTGAGAAATTGGATCTTGCTCATGGGTGCTTGATTCCGTGGGGGGTTTGATTTTGTGTTCTCGAGATGTGGCTTTAGCCTCTAAATATTTCACACGGAGTCCCCAATGTGTTTCAATCTTGGGTAACCAATTGAAACCCGAGGTGAGGTGGCGGGCCACGTTTCCCCCATGAAAGGTTCGGGAAATCCAACGGAAGGCACAACCTCCGGTTGCTTCGCTTGGTGAAGTGATTTCGCATTTGGAAGTCCAACTCAGTAGAGCCCCTTCAAGTGTTTAAAGGGCTGACGTTTCAGGGACGTTTTCAGGGCCACCAAGACATGTGGTGTCTGGAATGGGTGTTGAGCCCTTGTTGGCTGTTAGGCCTGGTTCCGTCCAAGATGACACCGCCTTGAGGCCATATCAAATTCAAGGCATTTGCATTTCGCGGTGCCCGCTACCCAAGCATCCCAAAGTGCATTAGCACGTATCCCCACACCAGCACCACCCACCTTGTTTGCCGAAGCGTTGCACCAGGACCACCGCCGGCTCTGCAACTTGGACTTGGTTGCCCGGGGGTAGGAGGAACCGGGGCAATCAGTTGTCGGTGCCTGAGACTCGCAGGCTCTAACCATGACGTGGCGACGGCGCTTGTTCTAGGCTGGAAAATGCTTATTTTTCTATGTTTTCACCTGGTGCTTGAGTGTGGCAGGCGTGTCAAGTCTGATGTCAAGAGTGTATATCAGCACAGCCGGCCTCCAGATTGATGATTCGAGATTGGTTGAGTTGAAGCGAGGCCTCTTGCAACATAACCTGGGAGTGATGACTAATGCACCAAGTGCCCAATTGGCTAAATCTGCAGCGAGCTGCCCTTTGGTTGAGATTTTTCTGACATGGTTTTCAGCTGCTGGTGCTTTTGTTCTTGGAAACCAACTATAGTTCGGAAGTCACCTGCTGGTCGACGTGTTGGCATCATGGGGGGTCGATATAGATTCTACAAATCCATTTGGGTTGGATCGAATGGCTCCCGAAACGTCTCTTCCTGACAGTCCAAGTGGCCTCCGTTTTGGGTGGAATGCCTGGCTTGCTTATTGTGTGATCTGATCATGTTTTAGAAGATGGCGTTGTAGTTCTTGCATGTGACAGTGCAAGACTTTGAAACACACCATTTTTTAAAACTCTCTGAGCACAATGGTGATGCAAACCTGTGGTTTTGTCCTTTGTCGTTTCGAATCCCACCCAGATTAATGAGCCAACAACAAGGTTGAGTTTCGTTTTCATGTTGCATTGATTTGGATGATGTGGGAAGCCCGCCAACATTGTTAGACAGCTAGAGCCAGATGGTTGTGTATCATTTGGATGGGGTGCGAAAGGCTTTTTCCATTTCTTTCCTCCCTCCACTTCTCCACGACTTTGACTGCTTTTGATCTTTTCGTGAACTCCAGACCCGAAGCCTTGCTAGGGCTACGAATCTGAGCCAATAGCTGATCTGGCAACTCAACTCAGGCTCAGTTGTGCCTCCACCTCGACAGCGAGGAGGAGAGCGTGTCTTGGAGGAAGCGCGCGACGTCTGTGATGGGCCAAGCAAATCCATATAGAGATGGGCTTATGCCAACCCGGTACTACAGAAACTGAGCAGTTCCCAGCGACATCTCTCTTGTTGGATTGGATTTTTGTCTCACGTCCCCATTGGTTTGACGCGCAGCTGAGTACAATTTCAATCCGGGCCATGGGAGAATATCGATCGCCTTCCATTATCTAGAGCAAAGCATGCAAAGGGTGGGGATGCTGCGGACTACAGTAAAACCTTGACTTGTCCAGAAGCACAGTCCGCGTCCGCATGTCCAGTAGGTCCCTACTTGCCAAGCAAGGTGGCTCTCTCTTGCTTGTCCAGTCGCTCGTTGTTTTTGATTGGAAACGAATGCCCTGTAGTGCCCCCCTATTGTGCTCCTTCTGAGGTCATGGGCGACGGGGCCATTGAGGAGCGGTGGGCAGGAAAGACGTGGGAAGGAAAGAGCGAACAAACCTCAGAAACAATTTCCGAGCTGTCATCTCACCACTGCTAATTGCCAGATGTTCAAGCATGTATGTATCATCATTCACATTTTTCATCCTATTGTTCATTTCTGCGAGCGCACGTCAAGAGGTCTAGCCTGAAAGCTATGGGGTGTCAGCTCAGCCAAGGATATTCCAGCATAATTCAAGGCTTGACAAAGAAAAGGCACTTGCCTACAACCTCTGCTTGTCGTTGAGTGTGGAAGTGAGGCTTTCAGGGTTTCTTGGTAACCTGTGTTAAGGCATCATCTACTTCACAGAGAGAGAGAGAGATCGGGAACCCTCATTCAATTGTATCACTGAAAGCCAAAGTAGGAAGTTCCAATCGGCTTCAAAGTGTTGCGGACTTGGGAGAGATGCCTAGCCCAGTAACAATTTGTTTAAACATCAGGTTCATTGGGTGTCCTTTAGAAAACCCTGTGCTCATTGGGGGAAGGCACACCGGTCCCCACAGATTTTGTTCAAGGTTCTGCCCACCAGCCTGGTTCCCGGGCCCACCAGAATTTGCGGCCATCGTGTTTTGTAGTCATGGTTCCTTCACGTCTATGGACATCCAAGTTGTAGAGGCATCAGGGCCAAGTTGTTTGGCCATAATTGTTGTCCAGGTTGGTACGACATTAGTCTTTGCCACATGCCCCCCACATTGTAGCTGAATTTCTCATTGAGGCACTTGAGATATGACAGCTAGATGCTGCTAGCTGTGTGGACGTAAGAGTATAATATGTATACGGTTTCCCATTTTTGCTGGTCACTGACCCTGACTGCTTGGCAAGTGTGAAGATGAAACGGTTTTATCCGTGCGCTTTTTGGCGCTGCGATGCAGGACGAGTACGAACTCGATTGGTGCGCCAAGGTGAGAGATACGGGGATGTTTCTCTGCGGGAATGGTTTCTTTGACAATGGTTTTGTAGAGCAGCCCATACTTAACGGCTTGAGAAGTGCCAAAAGAGCGGTGTGTCATTCGTTGGTTTTGCTCGGACTATGTTAATTCCGGTTTTATTCCTGGTTGATTTTCTACAGTTGAACCTCATGGTGAACACGTTGTTTCCTCTTGCTAGCTGCAGAGTTGTTTGTGACAGTCATGCACAGTACCAATTATCGTATACCTAGAATCTGAATGACCTCTATTTTGGACCACCAATCACCCCAAATGTGGTCTTTTCCTATCAAAACAGGGGTCAATTGGATTCACCAGTGTGCCAAGGTTCGCAGAGATGGTTTCCGTTTGGGCAACAAGTGAATAGTTTCCACCTCTGAATGGGCTTGCAGCTACCATAAATAGGCTTGCATCACTAATATTGACTGATTGCTGGCAGCTGGTCATCCACGGATCGCTTTTGGCATGACACTCTTTCTTAGCTTGGTGTGTAGGCTAACAACAAGACTTGTGTGAATGATGGTAGGGTGATGATGCACACCCAGCCTATGTAGATGCAAAACGAAGCAATGCCAAGCTTACCTTTGTCTTTCTTGATGCTACTTGATGAAGTTGCGGAGCTCAAGAAATCATCCCAACATGGCTCACAATGCAAGGATTTTCGTAAGAAAAAGGCGCCATCAGTTCCACTGATTTCATCATTTCAAATCATTTCATTAGCCCTCCACTTGTAAAAAGTTCAGGTGCCATGCCAGACAGGGAACGCCCCAGACTTGATTGTTTTGGAGGGATGTAGCGAACTCCCAAGCCAGATTCTTGTAGGCCCGAATAGTGCGCTACTCGCAACCGCAAAGAGAGGCCACCGAGTACTACCTCCTCGATCGAGAAGGTGCGCGGTTTTGAGCGCTTTGGGCCCTGGGGCGATCCTGAATTGATACCCTGAGACTCACTAACGTGGAAGTGGAGTTCACCACCTGTTTGTAAAGGACAGCGGTCGTAAATAGGGGCCTACGCCATCCGCTTCCATGTTTGTCAGTCAGAAAGTAGGTGTAAGGCGTATATTATAAGTGTAAGAAAGGTAGCAAGTGGGGAAGTTGGCTTAGCTTCACAACAAACACTTCCCAATGCTTGAACATGCTTGAAACGATTGAGTGTGACTTTGCGAGAAACGCTTTCAGACTTTCACTTGTAAAGGAAGTTTAGTGGGGAGAGAGAGGCTTGGAGGTTCTGAAAAGACACGGAGTCGGGAAGGCTGGGGTAAATGCCAAGCATGACATCCAGACAATGCGTACATTCCAGTTCCATGACCCACAGGCCAAAGACTAGGCCAAAGACTTGGGTTGCAAAAAAGCAAATCATGAGAAGTTTTGAAGGAACACTTGGCCTCTGATACGGCGGAAACAACTGCTGAACTCCGGCATTGGAACGCCCATGGGTTTTCGTGAAAGTCCTTCTTCTGAGCGTCACCAAGCTGCTTTTCCGGTTTCTTGAATTTTGCTGGGAAAAAGAACACCAACATCTTGGGACTGTGGGGGTTGGACCTGAAGAAAACACAAGATGGTTGGATGCTTGTGGTTACCTCGCTAGATGAAGGTCTGCAAACTCCAGACGTTGAAACACCACCCGACCAATGGTCGGCCTTGCCCCGATAGAGTCGCGTGGAATGAGGTGTCTCGAACGAGACCACCTTCGAGATCGAGGACGGCCTCCGAGGGGGGAAGATGGCCAAATGATTTCAGTGATCCTGATTCCTGATCTGTCACATTCCAATTCTGCCAGCCACTTGGGATATAGGCCCTAGTAGTGAACGAAGTGACCGTTGAAGCATTAAAACAGAATCGGGCTATTGTACCCATGTTTTGTGGACTTGATCAACCTTACTTGATTAACCTTTCGAAGGGCCAAAGTTTTGTGCCTCCGACTTCCTTTGAGATCCGATATGGATTTTGCTCGCGGGGCTAGCAGCAAACATCCAACCACTCTTGGGGTGTTTCCAGGTGTGCTTTCCTGGCTGAAAAGATTCTCCGTACTATTCTCCATGACCTAGGATGTACAAGATCTTTGCAGAACTACAGTGATTTTTCAATCCAAATCAACGTCTGTGGGATTCAAGAAAACATATGGGTTCCTTTGACCAAGTGGGGTTCTCCCAGTTTTCCGCATCCCGAGGGGTCCGACAAGTCTTTGGTCGACACGCCCAAATGGTTGTGAGACCCACTTTCAAATGGCCTCTCCTATCCTGACATATGGAACTCAGTCATGTCAGGAGGAGTACGAGTTCGAACTTGTCCAGCCAAGCCGGAGCAGCCAGGCCTGTGGGCAGGGGGATAAGTTGTTGGGGCAGCTGACCAGGAATTGGGGGTGGTTGGGGTTTCTTGGGTAGAGTCTGATCACACCCAGTTGCCAATATTTGGATCTAAGCTGATGTGTCTTGATGTTTGATTTCTTGTTTTTTCCGCACGACCATCTCAGTTTTGTACCTTAGCACTGCAGCTGAAGAGTTTGCTTGTTTCATTGTGCCGCATGTTTTTTTTTCAGCGCGGCTACCTTCTCAAGCTCCGTACACGCAGGGGATTTCTGAAAGCTATCTTGTGGTAAGTTCTTGGCATGAATTTGTCGCCAGCAAACACATATTTTTGGGCTTTTTGTTCTTGGGATGCCTCAAGGATCAGCATCACCTTTCAGGATTGGGGATCCTGCCTGGCTGGGCTGGCGAGGTGGGTGTGTGGGGCGCGTGGGCGTTTTGGCCAGCTGGGAGGTCCAGAATTGCTTCCATGACTTGGTTTGATCAGGCCCTCAATGTTGGTCTGACGACGTTGCTTTATATCAAGCCGCCAGGCTTTTCACCATCTGGGAACTGCGCAGCATCTGGGAACCAAGCCAACGTGTCAATTCTTTGGGCTCAGTCGGGAGAAGCTTCAGGAGGCCTTGATGTGATGAGCGGATGATAGTATTGATGATAGGAGGAGGCTGCCGAATTTGTGCTTCATACTGGTCGCTTGGTTCATTGGCAATATCACTAAGATCTAGATGTGAAGAAATTTACTGGTCACTTCGCTCATTGGCAGTATCAGTGAAATGTAAGTGTGAAGAAATTCAGGGGCTCAAGCCACCAAGTTGCCGACAGTTTATTGTAGAGGCCGCCCACGAGACTAGCAAAGTGAGTCCCCTTAAAGTGTATTGGGCAGCCAGCTCTTGCACATCCCCTCCCATCCATGCCTTGGACTTGCAGTCTTGCAGTTGTGTGCGAATAGCAGCTACTTTAAGCCAAAAGTCTTGCAATGACTTGCAATCTGCTGTTTTTTTCTGGGAAATACTAGAAGCTTCGCATTCAATGCATTCCGATAAAAGCTTCGCATTACTGCGACGAAAAGTATCTACAACTTGTTGATGGCTCAAGCCTGAACATCCTGAACAAGACTTCCTCTGACCTCTCATGGAGATGTGTGTTTGTGCCTGACAGGGGTCCACATCTTCTCCACGTCAACGCAAGAGCACAGGGCCAGCTAAACTTGCGGGCCGGACAGCAGAATGTATCTCAGGATGTTCTTTCCTGATCAAGCCAAGACAGTGAATTCTTTTGGACGATTTGTTCATTTGGGTTCAAACTGCAGAGATTTTGAATCTCCAACGGATTCTTTGTGTCAGTTGCTGGGGGTGCTAACCTTTTGCAAGGGGGGTTTGGATATATATATATATATACAGAGTCCTTCGTTTATCATTTGGATCAACTCCTTGCGACATCAGTCGCAACTCCAAAACGACGACCGCACAGGCTCGTGGCCCTGCTGTGCTGAGGGACCCGGCTGGGGCGCGCCCCGCGGGGCGCAGCCGCGTGAGCCGTGGGAGGTCGAGTTTGGGCTTCATAGGTCAGTGGAGATGAAGACTTAGCAGTTTGAAGTGGGCTGCGTCCCCAGTAAAGCAGACAGATTCACAAACATCTGAGAAAGGCCTGCAAGCTCACCATCATCCACTGGTAAGGGGATTGTACCAAGTTTCAAGAACTCTGTAGACCCTGGGATTCGCAGTTCACAGCCTTTGGGATTGACTGTTTTGTTCCTTTCAGACAGACAATCTTGTTGACCAGAGTGAGCTGACCTACACTGCATAGTCTAGTGATTTACATCCACAGTCTTATCATCCTGCTGTCCTTTGAAGCCCACCCGCTCCTCTCCACGCCAGTTCCATTTGTTTTCAAGCGGGTTGATCTGACAAGATCATCATGTTGATCTCTGGGCCAAAGCCCCAAAGCCCTCGATGTTGCATCCTGTTGCTCCTGACGCACATGAGATTGGCAGTTGACTTCAGATCAACCTTTCCTTTCCTTTTGCCTTGCCTTGGCCGTCTGCGGCATTGGCACATGCCGAAGGCTGCACGGCATGGAAGCGGCATCGGGCCAACCTGATGCTACGCTTGGTGCCGCGTAGGGGGCTTTGCACCGACCTTCGCTGGGGAAAGCGATCGGTGTGAGCCGGGGGAAGTTGCGACCCGCGGGCGCCCAGGGCAGGTGAGCTGAAAACATGCGCGTTTGACTTTGGGATTCGTTCGTGGCAAGGGAAGACTCAGGTGTTTCTTGTAGTGTGCAGTTTGCATGTTTTAGAGCACTGAACTTGGGAAAGGACAATTACAGGTTCATACCAGCGTTTGTGGTGCAAAAGGATGCGATTGTTGGATAACACCAGAGGTGTAAGTCCTCTTTTTCATTCTTTTCGGCCAATGTGTTCCTTGATGTCCTGTGCCGAAATCATGTTCGATTCCCTACAATCGCTGTGCACCTCTTCAGCTCTCTGTACAGAATCTGCGCAGAAGACATCTGCGCCGCCTGCAGTGGCCATGGCGGTGCTGCGGGAATACAACCAAGCAATTGCCAAGAAGAGGGACCAGTGGCTAGAGGCTTGCTTGTTGCTGCATGGCCTCATTGAAGTTGAGTTGCGACCGGACTCATGGCCGGTTTGAGGCATTTTTTGCGAAGGTGTAGTGCTTTTTTTCTGCACGCCAAGGAATCCCCAAAGGAGGACAGGTTAGAAGAAGCCGTCACTGAAAAAGCCCGTGATGTAGTGCCGGGCCCCCTGCAAACCCATCTCGTAAGAAGGGTGGTTTCACCGGAGGACGTCCTCCGGTGACGCCGAGAGAGATCGGTGACGTCTTGGACAACGGAGGTCGTTCTTCTTCGATGACTGGAAGGTTCGTTTCGAAGACAACGAAGCGATTTTCCTCTATAAAGGGATGGTCGTTTCCTACCATGGGTTTGCTTGGGAAGGTTTTGGACTCACGGCCACATTATATCGCCGTTTTCAGATGTACCGTACGTTGAGTCGAAGGGTTCCAGGACGGACTGGGTCGAAGACAACAACCCGAAATCGGGCACTTCATCAGAATCTGAGAGTTTGAGGCTGGGGTCGGCCTCACTTCACCAGCCTCACTTCGGGTAGACTCACATCAAGAAATATCAAGACTCGTTTTCCCATGTGGTCTTTGGTTTTCCCAACCTTGGGCAACGAATCTGTCACAGATAGTCTGTGTCTCACTGGGATCTGGTTTCGGTCTTCGGGGGCGGAGGGATTGCTGGAGTTCCGTGGAATGGAGATCGTGCGGTGCTGAGGTGTGTGTTTTTTTTTGATATAGAATATAGCCCATGGTGGTTTTACATGTACTCGTGTAGGACAGGAACTCTCAATGTCTGACAAAGATCCAGAGGCTGTTGATTCATTCTTTCGAGGCTTGTGACTCACTCGCATCAGGCATCAGGGGCAAGTGGTGAATCGGCATCATCTCTTTTTTGTAATGTCTTTGTGCTTGACAAGTTAAACTCCCAGCATCACACCTACTTAGGATGTGATCAGCTTCAATTCTCTGATCAATGCTTGCGGTCGCAGCGGAGAATGGCACATGGCGCACTTCTTCTTAGATGCTTAAACGCAACTGCAGGAGGTGATGAATCGGAGATGTTGGTAGTGAAAGTCAGATGAACTGAGACGCCTGAACAACAGGAGTTTCAATGTGTATCCGTCGCTTCTTCTTGATGAGGCTTTGCAGCCGAAGGGTGGCTGTTTCTTTTTTAGGGACTCCCCCGTTTGCAAGGGGTTCTTCAACGTTTCTCCTAACAACGATGGAACAAGGCCCCCCCCCCATGCGTTTCTGTGGTTCCGGCGATACCTGAACCACCAGTGGCAATAGTGGGCAATAGGACAGCGATGTGAAAGGTCGCTCAGTTTCAGCACCTGGAATCTTCTTGTCCACTATCTGTGCTTTTGGGTATTTTGAAAGAATGCGTCTTTGTTCCAGAAATCTTATGAACCTACATTCTAGAACCAGTTGGCCTGGGTGTTTCTGAATGCTCACACTAGTCCAGTTGGGCGGCTCTAAGATGCACAGCACATCAACCAAAGGAACTCCCCAACTAACCTTCTCTTTTTTTGCAGAGTCATTCAACCAGTCTAGAAAAAGGTACGTAAGTGGTTATTTTGTTGCATCTATGGTATTAACTGTAGAACTTGCCGTCTTCGCGGCAGTGGCGACTGCTTTGGTGAAAAAGGAACTTTTTCTGCAAATCCCAATGCGGTTGAACCCTCCCAGGAACAGCTTGGGCCCTGGCGGCTGCAGTGCGACGTGGTCGGCTACAGCAGCCTCGTGACCAGCTGCGAAAGGGGGCGACAGTGGCGACGGGCGCTGGGCCACCTGGTCGTTGTGGTCGATGGAAAGGGGGATGGAAGAGGGAGCCTGTGGAGGGGGAGACCTTTCTTGAATCGATTCAGGAAGTCTTGGAGTTGGAGGATGTTTCTTCTTCATCTGTGAAGAGGTGCTAGATGCTCAGGGCACTGTTTGGTCAAAGGTCTACGATAAGGCCACAGATTCCAGAAGGAAGAAGTCAGACACATTGAACTTTACACTCCCAAGAAAGACCTCTAAAAGTCACTCCATTCCAGCTTACTAGTCCATGAAACATCATGAAACATCATGAAACACACCATGAAACACAGTGCCGGACCCAATCTATATGTTTCTTTCAGACTTCTACTTCTTACAAGGCCTTGGCTTCGTGGTTGGACACCAACGTCTTATCGACCGAGGTTTACTGCGCCAGTCGCCCTCAGCCTCGCTCCGGTGCCCCGTGGTGACCTACAACGCCACCCTCAGCGCCCTCGGCGGCGCAGCAGCACCGGGCGCCCTGTGGCGCCGCGCGGTGCAGGTGCTGCGTGAGCTGGAGGGCCACGCGGTGCGGGCGCAGGTGATTTCCTTCAACTCGGTGGCTCGGTGGTTTGGCGACGGGGGGGGGGGGGGGGGGGGGGGAGGGGGGGGAAGAGGTCCCATGGAGGGTGGAGGAAGTGAAGCTCAAAAAGGATGTGATCTTCTCATTCCCCAGTGGTGAGGAACCGTAAGATGTGTAGTGTATCAAGGGTGATAGGAGATGAGTATTTCTGACACCATTAGCTCTTTTCACCAGGCAAACACCTGGCAATCCCACGTTCTTTTGTTTGCGACCATAACTTCTCTTGCACTATTGAGAGGTCATCAACGCTGTCCACCGCTGGGAGCACGCCCTGGACCTCCTCACGCTCCCACCGCAGCGGGCGCTGCGGCCCAGCGCCGTGAGCTACGGCAGCGCCGCCGACCGCTGCGCCGCCGGCTCCGTGGCCGGCGGCGGCGACGGCAGCGGTTGGGCTTGGGCGTTGACGGTGCTGAGCGAGGCGCGCGAGGGGCGGCTGGCGACGCTGGCAGCTTGGTGAAGGAAAACATCGGAGAGGAGACCCAGGGCAGGGCTGGTGATGTGGTGGATATGGCCAAAGATAGGAATGTGTGACCGTTGGATAGACAAGCATTCCGGCATGGATTTGGCAATATGTTTGAAGAGAAAACAAAATAGTTCACTTGGAATTTATTACTAAGCACAACTGCCATGTGAATGTCACTTGCAGTCAAATTTATGGGATGCACGTGCTGCTGTTTTTGTTCAATGTATTCTATACACCATCAGCGTCCCTTTACTTGTTTGAGGAGCAGTTGCTTTTCTACTTTGGTTGTTGAGTTGGTTTCACACTTCAGCAAACACCTCTTTTCTTGCGACGAGTATGATTCTGGAGTAACTCGAAGATGGATCAATCACTCAACCATCCGACTCTTTTGATTGCCTTTTGATTTTCATCCTGTTCCGGATTGGACCCACCAGGTCGCGCTGGAAGTGCACCTGGGAAGAAACGCCGGTCGTAGGACTGAGATAAGAGATCGTTTTCTAATCTCTTGGACGACACGGTCATCTACTTCATGACCTCTAGACTCTAGAAGAGGTCATCTACTGAAGCATCTCCTGCCTACTCTCCTCGCAGTTTCCCCACCACCTACCTGATTCTGTCACCCACTCCAAAAAGTCCATCAGTGCATTCAAAAATTCACCACTCCCATCTCCCATCTCTTCTCCCCTCCTACCTCCTCCAATTTCACTCTCCCCGCGCCCAGGTCCTCTACACCGCAGCCTTGAGCGCGCTGGGCGCCCGCTGGCTCCTGGCCCTGTCACTGCTGCGCGAGGCAGTCGAAGGCCGCGCGGCGCCCGACACCCCGGCGGCCACAGCAGCGGTGGTGGCCTGTGGGGAAGCGGAGGAGAATGGGTGGGAAGCTGGAAAGCATTGGGGAATAGGATACCGTTGAGGGTTTTAGTTGCTTGAATGAAGCGGGAGAGAGTTTTCGGTTGGTTGTTGTTGGGTGGAGGCTGTTTCAGGTGGTTGGTTTGGCTGGTTTGATCGGACCGCCGCCGGTGTTCATTCAATTGGCCTGCTTGGCTTGTCAAACTCGAGCAAGTACTCTTGCTGGGCATAAGGCTGCGGGTTGACTGGTTAGGGACAAGCGTAGTGATGCAATTTTGCCATTGCATAGTTTGCGAAATGTTTCAAGGCCATAGTTGCATTATCAGCATTCTTGCAAGTGACGAGTCCTCCTTTGTGCTTGAGCAGAGGACGTATATAATACTCCAGGCTCTGCTTAGATGTCTAGCTGCACGAGGTGAACTCCTAGAACTACTTATAGAAGAGGGAAAACCCTCTTGGGCACTACTTCTGTGATTCCTTTGTTGTGGAGCCACACTGATTTCGTTCCCACGAAACACCAGCATGGCCCGCCCATGACTCAACGACCGCCCATCCAAAACACCGCCTCCAGGAATGGCCCAGTGCCCTATACGTCCTGTCTCAACCGTGGGCTCCGGTGCCCCCGTCGGCCGCCGTGCGCGCGCTCGCCAGCCGCTGGCGTGCTGGGCTTGTTTGCCTCAGGAAGGGCGATGTCGACGGGTGCAATGCGGTGCTGGCCGGTGCTGGGGTGGAGCACTGGGAAAGGGGAATGTGACTTGCAATGAAATGGAACTCATGGGGGGCTTTTTTTTGGATGGAAGTTGGTGAGGACAAATGGGCAAGGCCGGCAAGGCAAATGATGGGTATGGTGGGATGGAACGGAGGTCTTTTTGTTCTTGTTTCATGGGCGTATGAAAAGGCGTAGCTGGCGGAGGTGGAGGCGGAGTCGTTCTTGAAGCACGTTTCGTCAGTTCAATGCTCTATGATGCTTTTGTTTTTGATTCTAAGAACACTGGGCTGTTCAAGTGAGGTCACAAGCGCAAAAGCCAAGTGTAGCCGTCGTCCAGACGAGACTCTAAGACCGGAGCTGAGCGTCATGCGTTGGTCAGGTCTTCTTCGTATCTTAGAACCATCATCAAGTAGACTTCATCAATCCAAAGAAGTGACATGAGGCGATGACGCCGAACATCGTTTCAACCCTAATGGTCTTTTCTTTGGGCTTCACCCCGTGGTGAAATTCACCCACGGCTCGCGAAGCCTCGGCCGGGAGCTTCGAGGCAGATGTTGCAGGAACTTCGGTGCCTGCGCCTTGGGGAGCCTTCGGTTACGAGCTCTTAGGAGGGGAGCGGTGGGGGCTGGTCGGCGTTCGCAGTGGGGGTGTGAAATGGGGGGTTAAAGATGGGGATGGAGTTTTTGAACCTCAAAAGGCTTCAGGTTTCGATGAGAAGGACAGGTTTGGACATTTTCGGATGGGTATATCATTTTGGGTCCGGACCTCAAAGGGTGGGCCAAATGGAAGAGTATGGAAATCCGAGGATGTGATCAGCTACAACTCTGCCATCAGCAATTGCATCCACTGGCCCACCGCGTTGATCTTGCTCGCCGGAGTTGGAGCGTCTCGGCAGCAGGAAGACGCCGGAGGTGGGTGGGTGACCCACTTTTCTCAGTTCCGGAGCCAGCGGAAGGCTCCGCGGTGGGCGGTTCTACTTTCATGTCCCAAGTAGTGTCCATGACATCCCTTGACGCAGAAAAGGAATGAAAAGGACATGTCTTTGGAACTTTGGAGGAAGCAATCGGTATGTATATTTAATCGGCTGACTGGGTAGATAGGTCTATTTCCCGAACTGTCTTTGCCAGGGGTCCGTCAGACTGAGCTACACACCCATATTGTCACCCTTTCAGCATCGACCTTGACATGCGAACGTGGGTCATGCAACCTCCGAAAACCCGAAGACGGAGAAGGTGGGGGGCGAGAGCGATCCATCCAAGAAAGATCCGATAGATCTTATAGATTGGGGTAGGTTCATAGTTCATCTGGTAGATTCACAGCTAATGTTTGGGATTCACAGTCAGTTATATAGTCCAGCAAAGTTCGTGAAGTTCTAGATGGTCAGGGCCGCAGGGAATCTTCATGACAGTTTTTGTGTTTTTTTGTGTCCGACAGTCTGCTCGTTCGCTTGCTTAGGAGATGCAGCTCCGAACAACGAGCATCACCTACAACGCGGTGGTCAGCGCTTGTCAGGCGAATTAATGGGGTGTGGGTAGTGTTTTTCTTTTGTCGAAAGCTGTGGTAGTTGGTTTGGCTGCAATATAATGGGCTGCAGATGCTGGTCGATCCTCTTTTTTCACGGTCTTTTTGGGTTAAACAAATGGTGGTTGGGTACCTGCAGCTCTGGGTGTTCACTTTGGCCAATACGGACTGTGGCCATCCGGTTTAAGGTGCTGCTACTGTGAGATGATAAAGAAGACGGGGAAGAGGAAGAGGAAGAGGAAGAAGAGGAAAAGAAGGGAGGAGCATCATTTTGCTGCCGATGTTCAAGTTGGTTTCCTTTGAGAGGTTTCTATTGGAACACTGCGCTGTTTCCGTTAAGAGCTAAGGGTGATATAGAACCGAAATTGGCGGAGAGTACCAGCACACCCTCTCTGCAACAAACATGGAACTGGGAAATAGATCTGTTAGGTGGAGCAAACTCGTCTTTCAAGGGGCCAATTTAACATGAAAGTGGACAAAGACCTGAGGAGGTCGAGGAAAAGTGACCTCTATCTAAGTCACTTTGTCCACTTCCACACTTCGTCTCAGCGTCTCACCCTCCGGTTTTGGTCGCGACCCAAAACCGAGCGAACGCCCCGACAGGATGCCTGGCAAGTGGCCTTGCTGCTCGTGACCGGTGCGCGGCACCCGAACGCGTGGAACGCGGCGCTTCACGCCCTGGCCCTGGCAGGGCATTGGCGTCGAGCCCTGCGGCTCTTGGAGGCGAGACGACCGCGCCGGTCCCGTCGACCGTGCCGACCGAGCGAAAAGGGGCACCCGTGAAGCACGAAGGTTCGAAAGAGCGAAAGAGCCAGGTTGACCCATTGATGGGGGGAAGGGATGGCTGTCGCGAAGAGAATTCTTTCTGGGTTTCCTTTGTTTCAGCGGCTAGATTGTCATGAGCTGTTTATGAACAAACTTGTTCATTTTTACATGTTCAAGCATCCAAAATTGAGCAGCCAAGTTAGACCTTTGTTGTAAGCCTTCCTAGGGTGCCTCCTAAAAGTCAGAGGGATTGACAAGACGGGGACATACGGACGTTCTTGTGAGCTCCAACGCATTCACAAAAAAAGAAGATCATCAGTTGTGGGCGAAATCAGCTTCACTCCGATGATCGGTTCCCTGTCGACTCCGTGGGGGAGCGAGGACATCTGGACCAGTCTGGACCAGTCTGGACTCCGCATGCAGGGAGAAGGCAGCTGGAACCCTTCTGTTCCTGTCCCCAACACCAGTTCGGCTCGACGATTCCTCGGCGCACCACAGGCGGCGTCCAAGGATCCACGGGCGGTCAATGCGGTGGTGGGGGCCTGTGACACGGTGCGAAGAGACGGTCGAGCCGGTGTGAACCGCGGGTTAGAGACGGTGTGAAGCGCGGTAAGGAAGACCAATCCAAGAGGTCATGCATCCATGATCATCCATGCATCCTCACTATCAATCCCGGATGTCATATGTAGGATGAATCCAGCAATCCAGCAAGAGACACCTCAATCCAGCAAGGTCAGACAATCAAATCCAGCAAAGATATGGAATAGATACGATATAGTTTCTTAAGTGTTCAATCCTCGATGTTCAATGCTTCCCATCCCGGGATGAGGGATGCTGGTCGCGACTGGGCGCCGTGACCTGAGAGGTGGAACGGGTCCGTCGGACGACACGGACGACGCTGTGTCCACCTTGTTTCTTGTGGGAGAACTTATATGTATAATACAACTTCTGAAAGAGCACCTGATCAAACATCAAGCCAAATATTAAACCCAGAGTGATACTATTTATCCCGAACAGCGGCTGAGACACCAGCAATACCCACTTTGCAAAATCGCAGCAAGAGAAAGACACATCAATGGAATTGATGGTCATGAGGGTTCCCGCACCATCCTGCACCTCTGAGCTTCTGTAAATCTTGGATTCAAAGCATCTGGGCTCCAAAGCTTCAAAGCTAAGATGTGCGAGGTCGAAATCTTAGGTGTTCACTTTGCGAGGTCGAAACAGGAGGATCTTCATAAAAAGGCCTACGGAGTGTAGCTCCCATGCAGGGGGCGGAATGGGTGGAATGGGTGGCATTGCCAAAGGTGAATCTCAACGCAACACTCAATGGATCTACTGAACCCTGGACGAAAGCCACTCTTTTTCTATGTGCGTTACGCTTCTGGAGGACTTTCGCAGAAAGCGAACCGTTTCCAATTGCCATGGGACTTTCATTCGTCCCACCGGGACTGGACCACCCCTTTCGGGGCACCGGACCACGGGGGCCCAGGTGAAAAGGCGGTGGCCGCGGTGGCGGAGAAGGGTGGCGGACGAGGTCCAGTGGCCGCGCTTTGCCCTCCAAAAGGGAGCTCGCGGTGGGTATGGGTTCCCGGGAACGGTGGAACGGGAAGTCGGTGCTTCCTGGGAACGGGTGGATGAACGGTGGAAAGAACAGGATCGTCCCAGTCTCCACGATTGGTTGTTTCAATCATCGAATGGGTCGAATGGGTGACATCTAGTGACTAGCCGCTAGAATGAACGACCGCACCCACACTTTTGAACATGCAAGTGCTGGGTGACTAGCCTCTATCAATGGATTGCAGCCCAGTGACCGTGGCTGAGACAGAAAATCAACACACACGCCTTGTCGAATTCCCAGCTTTGGCAGAGCCTTTGGGGTTTTGCTGGACTGAGTGCTGCCGCATTCCTTTCTTTAGACTCTAGACACTATCCAGGTCGCTCTTCGAGCGGATCGATAGGTGAGTTGCCCATCCTTCGAGAGGCTGAACCACATTCGGGTGCAAAGACTCACCTATGATCTTGAATCTTCATGTTGCCCCAGAACATGCAGATACTCCCAGCCCCCCTACACCCTCAGCACCCGAAATCCACCGCCCGAAACCGTGCGGGGACCGCAGCCGTTTCCATCCGCCCCGGCCCCGCGGTCCGCAGATCGAACGGGGGACGCCATGGCGCAGGCCGAGCAGGCCTTTTGCGCGGCGGAGATGACGGCGCCCTCGGCGCCGCCCGGGACGGCGGTGAGCTCCAAGACCGTTTGGACGGATGGGCAATTGAGGTGAGCATGCGATGTGGGAAAGATGTGGGAAAGGGGAAGAGTGGTGTTCTGTTAACGGTAGGAGTTGGTGGATTTGCAGGTCTGGTGGGTTTGATCAAGAGTGCATGAATGAAGGGACATGATTGTGTGTGAAAGATTGTGAAAGGGCATCATGCTGTCCTGCGACAAAGGATACAAAGGTCCTTAGACCTGGCCATGGATGACTCGTCTAGACCTGGTGGCATTCAATAGACCTGGTTTGGTACTGAGATTCGAGGAGCTTGGCCTTGACAAATCAATTGAAAAGGGTCGTTGACAGCTCGTTGATGGCCCACGAGCCCGGTCCAGATTCGCTCGGGTGACGCCGAACGGGAATGACTGGGTTGAGTGGAGTGGAGGAAAGATCTTCTCTTCCGCCTCGGTTCTGCCAAACAGGGGGCCACTGTCGGCAGATTCTCTAAACACATTTCAGGGAAGCATCCCTTGTGTACGCCATGCGGGACCGTTCAGATTCTTTTCGAGACACCATGCGGGCCTTGTGCCTAGACCCAACCGGGGTCCGGTCCCTTCACATAAGATGACCCCGCTCTTGCAGGCAAGCACTCTTGACCGAAGTACATAAGCACTGTTGCTGGAGTGGGCGTGCTGCCTGGGGCATGGAGATCAGGGACACTTCGGATAAAGTTTTCGAACCGAGGTGGCCGGCCTTTTTTTATATCTCTATCTCTCTATATTATATATATATATATATTTATACTATTTTTAAACATCTATTTTTTTTGTTCCGGAGCCTTTTGGTGTTCCGGGTGTGTTCCTCTGTAAAGTCAGGCCCCAGAATAGATGGAATAGGAAGAAGATTGCTGTCCAGGGAGCGATCTTCCATTTGCGTGACATGTAATTGAACTGCAGGAGGCACCCCGACAAACCAATGGTACAATAGAGCAAAGAGTCTATATATATATATATAGATTTCTTATGATTTCTTTACTTTAATAGGGCGGCTCCTCATTTTAACACATGCTCCTCATCTTTAACCATGCTCATAGCGAGTAATGTAGTTACTGCTTCTACTGCTTTCCTCTTCTTCTTCTTCTTCTTCGTATTATAAGTACTCAGATCCTCCTTCGCTGCATGCCATGGGGCTGGGATGCCTCTAAGCAGCTGTGAACCCCCGAATCTGACAAAGCTTCTTAAATCCCTCTTTGGTAAACGGTCTCATCAACCGACTCCAGTGGGTCTGTCGGTGTGATATTCCAGACTCCAGAACCATTTTTCCAGACTCCCCTGGATCAAAGGGCTTGGTTCTGTCAGTTCTGTCGAGGATTGGGAATCAATCAGTAAGACTTTCTGGAAAGATAAAACCACTTCCGCTTGCGCAAAAAATTCACACACTTGCACAATCCAACCTGCTGAGAGAGGATCTTCCCTCAACCCTCTACAGGGAGGTTCAGGTTACGTTGAGACCTCGGCGCTTTCTCAGGAAATGATCGCTTGCGGTGTTTGGTACCTGAAGCTCACGCCACTGGTCAGAATTTATCTTTGGCGTTTGAGATGAAGCTTTAAAAGGGACATATAATCATTGGCATCATGACAAGGATAGTGCAGCAAGAGCCTCAACAATCCTCAATTTGACATGTATCACTCATCATGTCTGCTGAATCAAGCCCAGATGTTGTGCTTTCAGGATTCCTTCGCAAAGCCTTGGCAAAACACCAACAACTTTCATACACCCATGCCAAACCTCTATTGGACCACATTAGATGTAAAGTGATGAGCTTCTTGGAGTGTTCATGAACATTTTATATGGCGTCAGAATCCTGATCCCTCTTAGTGCATCAATCATAGTGGGACGCCCCTCCACCAGCGTTCGTCAAGGTCCTTTGTGGAGACGCGGGAAGTCACGAAGCAGTCGAAAGCTTACAAAGGCCAAAAACTCGATGGACCACAGACACTTGGCGAACTGGACAACCCTCCAGTCACCCGCCAAATTGGGAGAAAACTCGACCAGAAGCTGTGGGGTGGTCGGAAAAGTTTTGGAGTGATGCGTTTCAATGATAAGATTGGGGATCGGATTGGGATAGTTCTGCAAGAGTTGTGGTACATTTGTGGTTGCGCTCCCTGCAAATGATCATGGAAGTGGAACATGGGCCCCCTCAATTGTACTCTTCGTTTTGAGGACACTTCTGTGCCACTTCCCTGAACTCTTCCTTGGACTGAAGCAAATCAGATAGAACAAAGTTGCAGAGTGGTTTCAGAGTAGATGGCATTGGGCTCCCAACATGTCTTTGAGATGAGACTCCGAATAGACCACCTCTTGAGGTTTGTGCCATCTACTCTCAATTCACTAGAGTCACTAACTGACGGAGATGCACCTGGAATCAAACAGATGTGTCAAACAAAGATTCCGGTAGATGGAGAAACTCATGACTGGGCAGCTGGTGAACCCTTCTTGCCAGAAACGGAGATCGATGGGCTCTTGGACAGCTGCCGTGTGGTCAATCGATATCCTACAACACTTGGAGTGCAGCACAGATCAGAAGCACATCTTGAGGTGGGCATTGTTTTT